ATAGTCTTTGGTTCTTTGTAGGTATTCTAGTATGTTCATCATGATAGTCTACTATTCTTATCCTGGGTTGGATTGATATCTACTTACAACACTGATGGCCTAAGCAATGTCTAACCGAGTGCACAACATAGCATACATGATGCTCCCTACGGCTGAGGCATAGAGGACCTCTCTCATGTCCTCTATCTCCTCAAGGGTCATAGGTGACATTCCTTTGGAGAGAGTGACTCCATGCCTAAAAGGAACGAACATTTTCTTGGAGTTTTGCATGTTGTATCTGTTGACGATCTTGTCAATGTAAGTAGATTGGGATAATTCAATTATCCTCTTTGATCTATTTCTATAGAGTCGAAGTCCCAATATATAAGAGTCTTCTCCAAAATCTTTCATGGAGAATTGCTGCGAAAGCCATACTTCACCATAGTTAACATTACTACATCATTCCCAATGAGTAGAATGTCGTTTACATATAGAATCATAAACTTAACATATCTCCTACTATCTTTTTATAAACATAGGGTTCATTCAGATTCTACTTAAAATCACATTGTTTGACTATTGAGCTAAATTGGATGTTCCAACTTTTGCAAGCATGGACACAGGTGAGAATGTCTCCTCATAATCAACTCATTTCTAAGTGTAACATTTCGCTACAAGTCGAGCTTTATAGGTCTCAACTTTTCCATCAGGGCCCTTCTTCCTCTTGTATATTTATTTGTAACCAATTGCTTTTACCCCAAGAGCAAGTCTATGAGAGTCCAGACTCTATTGGTTTTCATCGAGTCCATCTCAACTTTCATGACATCTACCCACTTTAAAGAGTCTATGTCCATCATAGCTTCCGTATAAGTCATGGGATCTTCCTCAATGTCCGTAACTTCCACCAAGTAACTTTCTTGATCATAACCATAACGTACTAGAGGTCTAGAAACTTGGGTAGATCTTCTAAACTGGATATTATTATTTTCAAGTGTCTTACACTTGATTTCTTATTGGTCCATAGCTTGTAAATTGTAGTTTTCAATGCATACCCCCAAAAGAATATGGGTAACTCTGAATGGACGAGGAGTGATCAGACCATATCTAATACAATCTGATTTCTTCTCTCTAATACACTATTTAATTGTGGTGTAATAGGATGAGACAATTGTGATATAATCTCATTGTCTTTTAAGTAGTCCCTGAATTCGTTAAAGAGACATTCACCTCCTCGATTTGATTGAAGGGCTTTGATCTGTCTCCTAACTGTTTCTCGACTTCTTGTCTAAACTTCTTGAATTTTTCAAAGGATTCAAACTTATGTCTCATTAGGTACATGTAAACATACCAAGAATAATCGTTAGTGAAAGTTATAAAATAACAGTGTTGCTTCCCTGTCCTAACATTCATGGGACCACGTACATTAGTATGTTTTAGGTCAAGTGTGCATGTAGTTCTTTCAGACTTACCTGTAAATTGCCTTTTTGCCATCTTGCTTTGGAGGCAAATCTCACAAGTTAGTAGGTCTTTCACAGTGAGAAAATCTAAAAGACCATCTTTCATCAATATTGTGATATGTTCTATATTAATATGGCCAAGTCGATAATGCCCCAAGCACGTGGGATTAACTGTATCACATATTCTTTTCTTAGGGATGTGCTCCGATATGATTTCGGTCACATTTGTTTCTAGAGAATGATGGAAAACATACAAACCATTCCTAAGTTGTCTGTGAGTAAGGAATTTGCTATTCAATTTAATTGTAATCTTATTACTAAATAAAATAGATTAACCATCCTTCTATGTTCCATTTCCATTTGTTCATTTTGAGATTTACCTCCTATCTCAGTGACGAGGACATAGTTCGTCTCCCTAATGTGGGAAATCACATAGGTGCATGGGGCCAACTGTTCCAGCTGCATAACCCCATCACTTTCTATGAAGGATCACATACCCATCCATCCAATGAGTTTTCCCTTCGGTCATCCATATGATGGATCCTAACCCTTCCAACACTAGCAACGTTTATCAAATAAACGGAAAACATACCAAATAGGGGTGAGCAAAAAAAAACCGAAAAACCAAACCAATTGAAACCGAACCAAAAATTTAGCTAACCAAACCGGTTGGTTCAGTTTTGGTTCAATATTAAAAAAAACTGAAGGTACTAATTCGGTTTCGGTTAACCAAAATAGAAAACCAGCGGTTAACTGAACCAACTAGTCTACATATATTTATATATATTTTATATATACATTATAAATTAATAAATATGCAGTATATATAATTATATATTTATAATATATAATATATTATTTATTATTTAAAATATAATATTATATATATATATATATATATATTTCTAGTATTTCATTATATATTTATTTATTTATTTTATAATAAATATTATAAATAATAAAAAGCAAAAAATCGACAAATTAAACCAACGGTTAACCAAACTGGTCAACCAGTTAATCGATCAACTTCGGTTACCAATTTTCCAAAAACTAGTAACCCCAATTCGATTTCAAAAATTAGCCCACAATTCAGTTAGCCGTGAGCACCCCTACCAAACACCATGAATATTATTTACAAGGGCTGCAAATCAAGTTTTAAACCCAAAAAAGAGAGTTTTTAGGTTTCATCTTCCATGAGAATTTAACCAACTCGTGCCCTTATTCCTGCTACTGGGTCTTTGATTGACAGTTTGACCATCTCTTAAGTCATTCATGTAAATCCCGATTTCAAAAGCTAGCCCATCAAACCGTCAATACCCTATCAAACACCATGAATATTATTATTTATGAGGGCTATAAATCAAGTTCTAACCCATAAAAGATTTTTGGGAGAATGATGATTCAGCCCAGGGTTAAAATTTATAGGCTCAAAATCATTTGAGGTAGATACTAACTCGCAATTGATGCCAATTTACAAGTAGGTATTGATATATAGAATATAAATTTTTGACCTTTTAAACTGGCATGTCCGCACTTCGAAGATTTTTTAGTTTTATCTTCCATGAGAATTTGACCGACTCGTGCCCTTATTCCTCCTACAGGGTCTTTGATTGACAGTTTGATCATCTCTTAGGTCATTTGCGTAAATCCAAAAGATTCACGACTCCCTTTTTCCAGCTTTTCCCGAACTCGTCAACCTCAAACTCCTAAGTCCCATCTTCCAAGCCATTTCATCAGTGATCAGGTCTATGTCATTTCTTCCATTTGATACTCCGTCTATAAACGAAAATAATTAAGAAACGTCAGGTCTCATGTCGATGCCTCCGACCTAATAATATCCAGCACTCAGAACCTCTAGCATTTTACCTTTGCCCATATCGGCCCACTTAGCTATGTCTCAATGTGGAGCCCACTATCACGTCTGTCCGCCAGTCCAACCGGCAACCGGAACTGATTATCTGAACTGAACCAACTCCAATTATCCATCCAACCACATGAAATGAATCAAACCCACGTTAATAGTGGTACCCACCATCCAGCTATGCAGCTCGTTCTTTTCTTGCTTGCTGCTTCCGGTGAAAAGACAATCAAATATTTATTTTTCGGTGTGATATAATAAAAAAATTATGTGTTCATTTTTTTTTAAATTATGCTTATGGTTTAACTATTTAACTAATTTGTATCCTTATTATTATTTTTGATAATTGTTTAAAATCTTCTTTATTATTAATTTTCTATCATATATATGACGTTATGTGATTGATATTTTCATAAAATACCCTTTTTAGAATTTGGATGGTTGTCTTCCTTGTATTTCAGACAGTGATAAAGTTCTCATAGCACATCCAAACTGACGAATAACTTCTTAGGTCTCGATTTAAGCAAGGAGCCAAAACAAACGATTATTCAAACTTGTCCTGATGACCACACCAAATCAAGGAAGAAGAGTGACGAATTAACATGTCTTCTCAGAGTTCCATTGAGAATTCCAATTCCAAGAACAAGACTATGATAGCATGGGGGGAATGCTCATGTGGATGATATGGATATGCCGGAGTTGGAATCATCCTTACCGTCCCCATTTTGGGGTTATCCAGTAAACCTAAACCAAGAGACTTGCTTCAAATTCTTGCAAATGAATTGAACCTGGTGGTAGGATGCTCATCTAGCATGACTTGGAATTCAGAGATATAGAATCTATAAAAGAATAATTTTGCACATCAGTAAGAATGAGAGGTTTTGAGATTGTACTTTCATCCACAGAAGCCAAATTTTAGAATAGCATAGTATAAGAACTATGATATTCCTTATGTTGATTAAACGTCAAATTCATTTACTGGAAATGGCATACACATTTCTGTGGGCCGTGACGTATGTACTCAGAGCAGCTTCGCAGTTCGCACATTCTCCCCTGCTCCAATCTGCCCCTGTTCTCTTCCAATTTTCAACCTCCCCCATCCTCACTTTTCTTTTCTCATTTTCTGGTAGGTGGTCCCCCAATCAGGTCCACACAGCTTCGGATTGTTCACGTTCTATGTCCCTACTTGACTATGGATTTCAGAATTCAGATAGGTGGGTCTAAATCTTTCATCTCCATTTAATATGACTTATGGGATCAAGTCGATTGTACAGGAGTGGCTGAAACAAATGAATAGATATTGCAGCCTGTACCACCGCTTTCCATTGTTACCTGAATACTGACCATTTTCTGATTGTCATTTGCAGTCTTATTTGCCTTTACTTCATTTTCCCGATCTCAATTTTTAACATTTGAGTTTTATTTTGAAAAATTGAAGAATAATGAAGGATAAATTCAATATTTTATTTTTTTTTCTATTAATACTTAATAATGATGTCATAACAAATTATAAATAATAAAAATAGAATCAATCAATTAGCTAAACCATAAGGATATTTAAAAAAAAATGTCCAAAATTTATTTATAAGGATAATCTTGTCATTTTCAAAAAGGGCTTCTCGTGGGCTGAGGTTTATCGGAAACTGGATGTACCCAAATCACCAACTTCATTTTATATTTATTTCCAGCCTTCGGGGGAATTTTGGAGTCTTCTGATCTCTATCTTGAAAATATCTTTCAAACTCGCCAAACTCCAAACTCAACCCCAACTCCCAGATATTTTTCCCCCACCACGGCCCCAAAAGGAAGAAAAAGGGAAAAAGAAAGCAAAGAGGAGGGACAAAAGAATATCATCGAACCACCACTTTTATTTATAACCCCGAAAATCCCCCAAAACTAGCTCTCTGCATTAATAGCCACCTCCTCTCCTCTTCTTCTCTAGATCTCTGTCCAGCGGTTTTCCGGTGTCGAATGTCGATGGATTTGAAGGAGACCGGTGATCACGCCGGGTTTTGGACCAACGAGAAGCACGTCAAATTCCTTAATTCCATTGAAGCGGCCTTCGTTCAAACCATGCTTGAAAATGGTGGCTGCTCCCTGTTAATGTATGCCACTGATCTTCGTCTTCCCCTCGACCGCTACCTCCCCGACAGCTCTGAGTCGACTCGCGATCTAGAAAGCAAGAAAAAGACAAGGAAACCTGTGCATTTCCACCATGGTATATGTTTTTCCTTATCTTTTCTGCCCTCCTTTACCTTGGCACCCTCGAATGTATTACTGAAAGCTTTTGCACTTCCTCCATCATGTACCGGAACTCCGACTCCACTTCCGGTGTATGTTAGCCGGAGGTCGGAGCCAGATGAACGAAGACATTAACTTGAATAACCAATATGCCCTAGAGATATTTGTGTAATGAACCGACCCTTCTTGTTCTTCTCTTTTCGCCATTATTTTTGAATCTGGAGGATGAAATGCTGTTTGACTTCTCTTTGTGTAGATCTTGCTCAACCAAATATCACGAACGTTGTTAGCTCGGACGTGAATGCTCAAAGAAGGTCATCACAACCGTACGATGCATCTCAAGATCAGGTTAGTAAATAGCAAGTAATGTGTAATACTCTCCAACGTAGGCCGTTCTGTACTCTATCATTTTGATTCGCACAAGATTAGCTTAGGAATAGGACTCGTGTATATCGTACGTACAGCAAGTATCTCTGGCTTCCACGTGTCCCGACTGACCACCCAACTCATTAGATCAGATCACGATCAGATTCAGTGAGCTATAATTCCCCGATTCACCTTCCAACTGGCATGAAAAATAATTATTTTATAAAATAATTAAAATAAGATAACTTTTGGAAAAAAATATCGAAAAAGGGCATTCGCACTGTTCATGGTCCTCCTCTTTCTCTGCCTGTATTCATGCCAGCCGTTTCAACGGGTAAACGACAGCCCGCGTTGGCTTCTGCAAACCCAGCACCTAGGCCGTCGTCTCCAGACGCCAGACCGGTATTGCCTGCATTAGTGACGCCAGACTGGTGTTGCCTGCGTTTCTACCACTGCCTCTTCTGTTACTATCACCCAGCTGCTGCTGATTATCGCCGGTACCGATCATCTTGCTTTCTTATCGATCAGACGGCGTAGATAGAAAAAGGAACAAACGAGCCTGCTCTTTGGTCTTGTCCACTCCGACCATGGCCGAGTCGGAAATGTTTGAGACAGTATCCGTCATGGCTGGCATGAATACAGGAAGAATAAGAGGAAGACGATGAAGCCAACGCGGGCTGGCGTCTGGAGACGACGGCCTAGGTGCTGGATTTGCAGGGAATGAAGCCAACACGGGCTGCCCTTTACCCGTTGAAATGGCTAGCATGAATACAGGCAGAGAGAGGGGAAGACAATGAACAGTGCGAATGCCCTTTTATGATATTTTTCCCAAAAAGTAATTATTACTTTTTATTGATATTCAGAGCAAAAAACTGCCCTTATATTATTGTGAGTACAACTGTGAAATATCTACGGACCTCTCCTCTCTTCTCTCTCTTTTGAGTCTTGCGGCAGCGTTGAACGTTGATTCGATATTTTCTTCGAAAAAAAGTTTAGCTTACGTGTCTTTTATAAATACAGGTGGTCCCACAGATTGGAGATAGAAAAGGTGATAAGGTTGTTGCTACTTGAGAGTGGAGACTGCAGAACCAAATGCGTTGCTGTTTTGGGAAAGATCCTACGAAACCGGGAGAGAAGTCTATTGGACTAGTATTTGATGGTTTAATTATTAATGATTTATATTAGGAAAAAAAAACCCTAGATTTCTTTTCTTTTCTTTTCTTTTTGGTTATTTTTCATTTTCTTTGTGATTTCTTCTATGGTGCTTTTTTGTTGTAAATAAATTATTTAATTAATCTAGATTCCTTTTTGTTATGTTATTATCACTACGAAATGAAGATAAGGAGATTAGGTTATTTTTAAGCATATATTGATGTTGCATGATCATGAATTTTTTTTTTTTGGTATGGAATCATCGCCTTTTGCCTCCACAATTCTTTCTTAAAGGTATGGTGGTGGGACCCGATAGTGGGCTCGTTGCTTCTGTACTACCCAGACTAAATACCAACCGAGACACCACTCAGTTGGCCTTTTCAGCAATATCAATAAATACACGTGTAATCATATGAAGCTATCCATATATTTTGTATTTATACGTGTACACATTTATTTGACAAAGAAAAAGAGGGATCGAGGTGGTGGGGCCCTAAAATAAATGTGATATTTGGGGTGTGGTGATATTTATTTGGTACTAGTGGAGACCCGTGCGATGCACATGTTTTGTTAAAAGAACTGAGGCAAAATGAGTTAGGGGTGTAAGTGTGTAATTTGTGTAGGCCTAATCTAAGCTTGATCCAATTCAATCAAAGATTTTGCATAGGTTGGGCTTGAATTTTCAACTTAAAGCTGGGTTCAGACCAAAAAATTCAAGCTTAATGTTAGGCTTGGGTAGCCCAAGTCCGATTCAACCAATTTGAGCCCGTCCAACATTTTGTGATATATATATCTACATATTATCAATATATTCTACCCAGAAATTAGGCTCTAAAACTTAACACATCCAATCCCAAGCCTAGCTCAAGATGTTGGATTAAAGCTTGGGTTAGGCTTAGGTTGGTAAGAGAAAAAAATACTGGTAATTTTCAATAATTACTGATAATTTACTAATATATAACAAAAATAGAATGAAAATACTTATTGATAGTTTATTAACACAGGTCTAACTTTACCAACTTAGGCCTAACCATAGCTTAACCTAACATCTTGAGCTGGACTTGTGCTTGAGCATATTGAGCTTTATAGCCCAATTTACATGTAGAACATATTGATAAAATTGGGTTGGGTCGAGTTTAAACTACTTGAGGCCTCAACTCAAATCCAACTTGAGTTTGGTTTAGCCTTAAGCTTTTTTGCCTAAACCTAGCTTGAAGGTCAAAAAACTCAAACCCAACTTGTGTAAAAGCTTGGGTTGAATTGGGTTGGGCTTGAGTTAGGCCCAAACAACCCAAGGTACAACCGTATCTCCTTTTACCTCAAATTCTTTTAACAAAACTCGTGCATCGCAGGGTCCCCCTAGTAATTAATAGCACTAGTTTTAATTTATAGTTACTAATAGCAATATTTGTTACTAAGAATAGTAATATTTTGTTGTATCTTTTAATAACACAAAAATAGTTAATAATTATTTTTAAATTTTATAATTAATATTTAAAAGATATTAATAAATTTATAATTATAGTTAATAATTATCAATTATGAATTAGTAAATTTTATAATTCTGAATTTATAAAAACATTACTATTATTAACAATAAAAATAGTTAATTTAATTATTCATGAAATAATTATTATTTTTAAAATTTCTATATTAATAAAAATATTTAATTATTTTTGGTAATTAATTAATTTGTTGGTAATATATCACTAATTAATTAATCCTGAATTATTAATATATCACTAATATTAATTAGTAAAAACAGTAATATATTTTGGAAATTTTTAATAAATCATGGATATAAATAATATATTTTAAGTAAATTTTGGTAATTTTCAGTTAATCCTGAAAAGAATTAATTAATTTTGGTAAATTATTAGTAAATTATCGACAATATTAGTAATTAATCTGAAAAATATTACTAAATGAAATTTATTAATTATTAAAAATAGTAATATATCATTCAAAGTAAATGAGTTGTAAGTGGGTTGGATTAATGAAAACCAAACCATATTTGATACAATAAACCACAACACTTTAGTTAAATGGATCGAATAGTGAGAGAGAGAGAGAGGTTTTAGGAATATTTTAGGAATTAGGAGAGAGTTTTAAGAACAATAATAAATTAGGAGTGTAGAGAGGTTATTAGGAGAGAGGCGATAAAGAGAGATTTTAGGAACGTTTTTATTAAGAAAATTCAATAGGATAGGAATGCTCTTAGGGGGGGGAGAGAGAGAGAGAGAGAAAGATGAGTTGAGATAATTAAAGAGAGTAGTTTTTTGGATAGAGAGTGAGAAAAGTGAGTTGTAGAGAGAGAGAGAGAGAGAGAGATTTTAGGGTAATGGAGCAAGGAGAGGCATGGTGATGTGGACTGTCTTGCTATATATATACTAGCAGGGACCCACGCGATGCACGGGCTTTGTTAAGTGGCTAAACAATAGAAATACAAAAGAGTATATAATTATTTCATATTTTAACTTTTTAATAACCAATCTGATTGAAATCAACCCGAGTTTGTTAGTTTTCTAGTATTTTTCAATTGGCTTTGGTTTAACAATTTTCCAACCCGACCAAGTTAGGTTAGTTTCAGTTTGGCCATTTGTAAACCGACCAAAATTGAACCTATCCGACTATATATATATATATATATATATATATATATATATATATAATTTTTAAATAGAACTTTTTAATACGGGAAAGTGTGAAAATTCCTATATATCTTAGTCTAAAATATTTTATATCATAAGTTTAATTTTTAATTTATTTTTTAATAATACCACTATAATTTATTAAATTTAAATTTAATTTTTAAGTTTAAATCTTTTGGATAAACAAACCAAACCGAAAATAGACCCAAACCAATACAACCCAAGTTGGTGGGTTTTCACTAATGATCAGTCGGTTTCAGGTGACAAACTCCCAACCTGACCAGGTCGATTTGGTTGGCGAAACAACTTGCAACCGAACAGAACCAATCCTTGAACACTCATAATTTCAACTAAATTAATAGTCTAACCTCTAGTAAATAACAATAGTTTAATCTACAATAATTATTGAAAACTATAGTAAAAATACACAATTATTGAAAATAAATTTATAATGAACTAGATCGATTTGGTTGGCGAAACAACTTGCAATAGAACTGAACCAATCCTTGAACACTCCTAATTTCAGATAAATTAATACTCTGATCTCTAATAAATAACAATAGTTTAATCTCCAACAATTATTGAAAACTTATAGAAAAAATAAACAATTATTGAAAATAAATTTATAATGAAAATACAATAGATATTTAATAAAAATACAATAATTACAAATATATAATAAGTATTAATTTTAGTATATATAAATATATAATGAATATACACTATTATTATAAAAATTATTACTAATAAATATTAATCTTTTGAAAGTTATTTTCTATAATTATTAATTGATACAAGTGAAATTAGTTATTTACAATATTATTTAGTTATTTAAATAATACTTTTACTTAAGATTTTAAAATATTTATTATTTATTGAATTTAATACTCCATAAAATTATAATTAGTGTTATTATTATGTAATTCGTTATTAATTTTTTAAAATAATAAATTATTATTAATATGAATATTATGAAATCTATTATAATCATTTTTCTACTTTTAAGAAAAATTTTAAATTTATTACATAATTTCGTAATTTTAACTATTTAAAATTTAGTCATGTTAAATATTTCGTTGTTTAAATATATTAAATAATATGTAAAATATAAAACTTTTTCATTATTTGGATTTTATTTATTTTAAAGTTATTACGTAATATTAAATGTATTTTTATACAATTATTTAGCTATTTTTAATGTTTTTTATTTAATATTTTATTTGTTGAAATATTTAAATAATGTTTCATTATTTAATGTTAAATTTTTATTATTTGAATAACATTTAAATTGAATAGTTCGTAAAATTATAATTTATATTGTTACTACATAATTTCATGATGAATTTGTAAAAATACATAATTATTAATAATATGAATACTATTAAATCCATTATATTTAATTTTTTGTGGTTTGATAAATATTTTAAAGTTAGTATATGATTTCTTTATAATATTTAAATAATTCTGAAATATTTAAATTGAAACTTTCTAGATAAAAAGTGGGGGAGAGGATAAATAGGAATTAAAGATAGTTTATGAGGGAATCTCTCTACTAAATTAGAGATAATTTAAGAGATAAATAGGAGTTAGAATTTTGAAAGTGGGGGAAAGTGGTGCCACTTGGCTAAACATTAGAAAAGCAAATCCCTTTTTCTTTATGGTTGTTAGAAATTGTTAAAACTATGTTAGTTCCTTATTGGTTTAATGGGTAATTATGTGGAATTAAAAATAAATAAAAACTTAAAAAACATAGGATATTAAGAAGGGGGTTGGGAGCAAGGAGAGGCATGGTGACGTGGACCGCCTTGCTATATATATATTACTGACCCAACTATAGATATATATATAATTTTATATATATATATATATATATATATATATATATTAACATTTTATATTTTAAATATAATTTTTTAATATGAAAAAGGGAAATTCACATATTTCTTAGTCTAAAATATTTTATATCATAGATTTCGAGTAACCGACCCGTTGACCCTGGCCAAAAATCGTTGAATCAGTCAACAACCCGTTGACCCGGGCGGTTAAACTGTCAATCCATCGACCCGCTCAACGGTTTTTGGCCATTTTTTATTTTTTAACTTTTGTTGTTAGAACAGGCCATCCGTTTGAACCGGACGGTCGAATCGTCGACCTGGAAATCGGTGCCTAGAACGGTTCCGTTTCAGGTTGTTTTTTCTAGATGCCAATAATTAGACGAAATAACTTTGTAGTCATAGTCATGGGAATGGTGGACATTGCAAGGGATTCCAAAACCTTGAAAG